GTTCTTCAAAGCACTGCTGCTTTCTAAAGGACATTAAACCAGTCTGTAGGTATTTTTCTGAGAGCATGGAGGACAAGGCTCTGGTGCTTATCAATACAATTTGTAGCATAATTTCGGAGGATTTTTGTAACAAATTTAGGAATCTGATAATGAAACTTCACTTATTTTAAAGGACAGTGTGGTAAAGGTTACCAGTGGCAGAATAACTGGAATCTGTGTCAGAAATCTTTGAAAGCAGCAAGGTCAGCAGTGAAGATTAAAGGTCATGCAAAACTAGCACGGGTCCGGTATTGTGTAAACCCAGTGTTCCTAATAATGGAAGGAAATGGCCTGGAAGCTGTTCTCTTCAAGAGGCTGAAAGAGCTCATAATCACTAAGTCTCCTAATCACTAATTACTGTGGACTACTAGGCACCCTGATATCTCTTAGAAAAGGGGAAATAGATTTCCAAGTTTCCAAACCAAAGAAGGATACAAGACACTTTAAGTACAAAATGTGAATTAGGTGTAGTGTAATAAAATTCCAGCCACATTAAGAGCCCAAAATGGAGAAATAATGAAGGGAAGGATAATAATTTGTATTAAATCTAGGAAAGCAGAAGCCTACTCTGTGTTTGGCTGTGTGAGTGAGGTTTTAGCTGCCATGGGAACCTGCTGTACTGCAGAGGGTGGGAGGGAACAAGAAGGGAAAAGGAAGAAGAATTTTTAAGTTTAATACCTTTTCTGTTTATATAATCAAAGCCTACAGGACAGAAGAAGACAGGATTTACAGCCTCTTTTAGCTCAACAAACTACAGAGGGAGCTAGTCACATTCCTCACCGTTACCTAAACTTTAAAATAAATGTTTCAGCAGCTGTGACCTTGTGGCAGGTAAAACTCAAGGTGGGAATGAAGTCTTCAAAATTTTCCTTTTCTTTCCTTGTGGCAAAGGACTTGACTGAGTGTCCCATATATTCTGTCCTCCCCCTTGATGGATATTTTCCCTCTGTTGTTTTTGTTGGGCTTTTTTCATGTTGACAGGGACATTACCCCGTGGATTTTGGGCAGAACAAGAAGGACCAGGGACTGGATAAAAAGTGTTTGTGAATCTCCTGTCCACCCTCCAGCCCGTCTTCTCTCACACACTCCCCATTTTCTTTTTTTTTCCCCCCAAGTCCATTCCCCCTTGAATTCTTCTGTTTCCTGGAATTAAGCAATTAATAAGATCAGAGTTTTGGGTTGGTTTTTTTTCTCTCCAGAAAGCTTTGTCACGTGCCTCATCAAACTTACAGCAACTTACAAAGAAAAATACCCCCTGGGAGCTGTTTAGGTGCTCCTCATGATTCCCATCAGGGCACCCAGCCCCTTTGCTTTGCTGGTGTGCCCAGTGTCCTGGAATTGATAGGAGGGGACAGAGGAAGAAAAACCTGAGCAGGTGGGGGAGGAGGATGGGGGGCAGACAAATTGCAAATGCTCAGGCAAAACAAGAGACAAAACGAGTTCCCCTACCCGCATTCTCTTCCTTTGTCTACCTCCAGAATAATATGTACATCCACAGACAGGGTCATTTCTGAGAGGAGGTTTTCCCCTCCAGTTTTTCCCTTTTCTGTGCATGCCAGTGTGGGTTTGCATGAGCAGTAGAGGAAGCTTACCTATGAAAACTGGTGGGCACCATCTCTGGGGATTCCTGCTGCCAGGTAAGATTTGGCTTTTCTGCTTCTCTTTGTTGCTTGACCTTTTCATAGAGGGTGTCTCTTAGCTGGGCTCATGGGTGAGCTGTCTGTCTGTCTAGCCAGTGCAGCAAGTGCAGCTCCTGTGCCTGTCTAAGGCTAAGGAGGCTTACTGCAGAGTGAGGGATTTCCCAGAGGGGGAAGGATGTTCTCTCACTGCCTGCACTCTGCATGAGTGGAGGGGCACTTCTGGAGGTGTCCCAGCCTGCTGGGTGTGTGCTCAGGGACAGGGCTGTCCCTGGAGCTGACCCTCAGGCACAGGTGCCCATGCCAGCCCTCGGGATGTGAGTGCCACCAGGCTGTGCCACAGGTGAGCCCCTGGGAGTGCTTCTGGGGGGATGGAGAGCAGGGAGGGCTCCCACAGCCCAGCAGCTGAAGGCAGGGATAGAAAGAGAGGTCTAAGCCCCAGCTGTGGGCCCAGAAGAGTCAGGGACAAGGTGTGAGCATGGCCAGCAGTTGTCCTTCAGGAAGAGCGTCACCCACCAGACAGTGTCACTCAGCTGTTACAGCTGTGGTGAAGCACAGCTGGAGTGCTGCAGTGTGTCACCCTGATTTTTTAAGATTTTCTAAGCCTTCTGATGTTTACATTCTTGTAGCAAACTTTCTCACACACTTTCTGTAAATAACTTATTGTATTGCATTCTTTTATAGAAGAAGAGAAATTTGATAGACTGTTGGTTTGTCCAGTGTCATTGGAGAGATGGGTGGATGGGTCACTCAGGGACAGAGTTTAGTGGTGGACTCTCAGTGCTGGATCTACAGATGGACTCAATGATCTCAGGGGTATTTTCCAGCCTAAACAATTCTATGATTCTATGGTTACCTTTTTCTGGCATTCCTGCCATGTTTGGAAAGGAAGTGTTTAGACATTCTCTGTCCTCATCTTCTGTGTCACCAGAGAAATATGGTATGGTGACAACCTGAGGCCATCCTTGGATAGAACCAGAGATGTCCCTCACCTCCCACTGGAACTGACAGTCTATAAGGAATAGTCCCACTGTAACACCAACAGTGCCAAAAGAATTTGAGTGGCAAATCTGTGATTACAGTGAATCAGTCCTGTGTGTTCTGGTTTCACCAAAGAGGAAGGATCAAAACCAATAGTGCAGCTGGCTGTGGTTCAGCTGGGCACATTTCTCTATGCTCTGTCTTGTGTTAATTCTTCCATCAGAGGCATTGTCAGGGCAACCAGACTGATGCTCTGAGATACATGGCTGCTCTGAAAACTACCAACCTCCTTAAAGCCATGCCTCAAGAGCAGCTGGGGATATATTAAACCTGCAGATATCTACATATATATATACACCTGGGGATATATTAAAACCTGTAGATATCTATATATATATACCTGGGGATATATTAAAACCTGTAGATATCTATATATATATATACCTGGGGATATATTAAATCTGTAGATATCTATATATATATACCTGGGGATATATTAAAACCTACATGGATATCAGGACTTCCTTGAACTCTTCAATTTGACAGTGAGACAATAAAAGTAAACAATTTTTATGCTGTAATAATGTGAGCATAAGTGTTGTTTCAGCTCTGCTGTCCATTTGAGATTTGTTTCAGCTCAGTGGAACACGAGCTTGCATGCTGCTGTCAAGCATCAGTTTATCATATTCCACTACCTCCACACCACCACAGCAATTTTTTTGTGTTCTGGCCAATCCTGCATGTGGGGTGCAGTGGAGGAGACCCTCTACACCTCTGCCCATCTTCTCTAGCTGGAAGATGCTTTGCTCAGAGACAAGGACAATTCATTGAGCTGTGGTGCATATGTTTTCCTTTTCCAGGTTTTGGGGCTTTTTCATTCCAAAATTGCTGTAAATATGCTGAGCATTTCAAACTTTGCAGTAGAGGCTATTTGATGTGCTTACATGGCAGCACACCTCATGTGATTGTCATAAAAGGATTTATGCTGTGAGGTACATGCTGGTTTTCCCCATTGTACAGGTTCAAAAGTGGGGTTCAGGTTCAAAAGTGTGACTTTTCCCAAGATATAAAGAAAATCAGAAGCAGAACAGGAATAGATGCAATAAGTGTTCAGTAAGCACAAAAAAATTATTTTTTTATTGCAAAAAAACCTCTATACTCTTAGTGTTGATAAGGAAATACATTAGAGTTCCTGTCAGGACGGTGTGAAATGCAAACATTTCCCTTATATATAGTCATAGCTCTTATTTCAAATGATGGAGAGATCTTGGTGAAAATTGTGGTGCCACAAAGTCCTTTTGTCTTGTTGATATAAGAACAGAGCCTAAGAACAAATATTAGCATCTAAAGATACACTTTTGTTATTTTCACCTGTATTTCTGGTCAAACAGGTGCCTCTTTGGGAAGCCATGAAAACACATGCATCCAGAGGTATAGACATAAATCCATACATATTTTTAACTTGTGTAAGATGTTTCTTCAGACAAACAGGAGAGAACAGGAACTTTTCCTATTCATATTTTCAGGCAGCAGTTCTGTAAAACATAGGACTGCCTAAAAGTGAACACAGAAACCGATTTCATAAATATTTTCAGATCTGATTTAGAGATTGAAATTAAGAACAAAGTAGTGCAGTATGTAACTAGAGATTTAAGAATTGCTGATACCTTTTGTTTTCAAAGTGCAGTATTTAGTTTTTCTTTACTTCTTTGTATTTACCTGCAAAGAAGCAAATTCACATTTTCCCTGAAACAATTGACCACTGAGCCCTAAGACTCTATGTAAAATGGTAAAGGGAACTAAACCTCTTTATTCTTGTGTAACTCATTAGCTGAAATCAGACGATTAGAGCTAATGTTTCCATCTAAAACAATTCAAGTGCCTCATTAAGGGGGATAGATTTCCTTTGATCTAATTAATTCATGTCCCAGATATATGGGAAATTCAGAGATCAGTGCTGAGAAATCTCTGCAGGCCTGGTCACATCCAGAAACATGAATTTACATGTAGCCTTCAGAAATGTAATTTAAAATGTTAATGAGCCTTGTTTAGTCTGCTGGCAATGCTTGGCCAAATGCTTAATGAAATCACATTGATGATAGCCAGAGAATGAAGATGATGGCTGTTTGCTGAGTATGATTTAATCTCCATTATTATAGGCAAGTGGATTGCAAATTTCCATAATTAAACATCCAGTGCACTGGTCAGATTCTGTTGTAAAGTTTGGTAATTGCTGTTGTTGGGAAAACAGTCCAGCGGGGTGTTGCTGTCACATGATGAGCTTTTGAGGCTGAGCTAATGGGATGCCCTTTTAAAGTGTTCTCCATGTTTTCTGCTTTAGAGGCAGAGGATACCATCATGGAGGTTTCATCCAAGGAAAATACTCACTTTTTCTCAAACAACACAATCTTGCCCGTGGACCGATCTTCATTCAAATCTGAATCATCTGCATCCAAGGAAAAGCAGTCATGTTGTGGAGGTATAAAGGTAGAGTAAGAGCTTTTGCATATTCCAGTAGGGACTTAGAAAATCTCTCTTTTTATTTTATTTTTTATTAATGATCCTGTTATAAATTCTGATTATGTCATGCTGAGTCAGGAGAAATTATTAGATACATTTCTAAGTCACAAAAAAATCTACAGATCTGTATTTGGCTAATGTTTGGCAATCATCAAATATTATTTTTTGGCTGAGACTTGCATATTGTGAGATCTTCAAGACCCATCCTAAAAAGTCCCTCTGTCTTCTTTATTGCTCCACCTGAAGTTGAGAGCAGGACAGATAGACAGCACAGGCAGCTGTCAGTGCAGATTGCTTTTTTAAGATAGCTGCTTTTTTAAAATAGTTGGTTTTTTAAGGTAGTAGCCATGGCAGTCTGCTGGGCTCTCCAAACTAATATTGTGTTATGGTCTGTGTGTTTTGAGTTCTGTATTATTAAAGCATGATTGTAATGCTCCTTGTTCAAGGGAACTCCTCATGAGGTGACTTTGAAATGAAACTGCAGAAGTGTTACTTCTTTTTTACCACCTTTTCCACACCTCTTTCACCCCCAAGAAGTTTTTCCTGGAGCAGGGAGGTCCTTGCTCTGAGCCTCGGGATGTGGCTGTGCCTGCCTGGTGGGAGCTGCCCGGAACAGGGGGGCACAGCAGCCAGCACAAAGCTCTGCCTGCTGCCTGTGCCCCTTTTCCTGACACTCTCCTGGGTGAGGTCTCAACATCACCATGCAATGGTGAGATGATTTGAGTTAGATGGAAAATGAGTTTTTGGCCTTGGCCCATTCTTTTCATGGTGCACAGTCTTTGTTTCTGTTGTTTTTTCCACTCACTCAAACACACGTGTACTTTCAGGTGTTAATCCAGCTCCAGCCAGTGAAATGAGCAATAGTTACCCTGAAGTCTATAAATTTTGAATGGTTTTGTTTTGAAATGGAAGATGAGTTGTTATTAAATAAATTTTGTACCATAATATAATTCTATCACTGCTTCTCCATTTGCTACAATGATAATCCAATCCCCTCAATGAATAAAACTTCAGTCACACATTAGCCAGTCAGGAATCAGTTTATTAGCTCCAGAAAGAGAAAAGCAATATTATTTCAGCTCAGTTTCTTTCTCCTTAAAGTTGTGTCTTCTAGGAACCCAAACTGATATTACTAATGTATTTCTGTAGGATCTTAGAAAACCTCTCTCTTTTTTTGGTGAACTAACCCTTTTTAAGTTCTGATTAGGTCTTGCTGAGTCAAAATGAAATTACTAAAGATATCTCCGAGTCATAAAAAAGTCTCCTTTGGGTTTTGCCTAAAGTGTTGAAAAAACAATATACAGATACAACAGGTTGTTTTTACCAATTATCAACCTTCCTATGTCTTAAAATTGCCTTCATTAACCAGAAAGATGTGGTGAAATATCTGTTTACAAGCACTGACAAACCAGAGAAGAATGTGAAATCATGTGTACCCTCCTGTCCCAGCTCTAGCTGAGGAGTGTCTTTCCACTACTGCACACCTGGGACAGAAGCAAACCCAGTAAAAAAATTTGTTCCAAGGACATTTAGAAGCATTTCAAGTTGTAGTTTACCTCTACAATTTTCCTGTAAAGAAACCCAAAACTATGTGCTGTCACATTGCTATTTAAAATCCAAGGGCATAAAAATACAGAAAATGTAAAATATTATGATAATATTTGTACTGGAGAGTCTTTTGAGAGATGCTGCTGTAGGAAAAAAAGACCCAGAGAGGGTTTGTAAATGTTTATTTACCCACAACTGTTTCTGAAGGAGGGATAACCAGCCCTGGATAAAGTGACACAGAGATATCTTTGAATATACGTGAATTTGCATCCAGCAGTGATGTTATTGCCACTGTGCCTTGTCAAATGAGATGTTGTGAGATTTGCACTGGAGGTAAGTACATTGCTCAGAACACCTGGTTACTGGGAGTGCGATTGTCAGAGAGGATTGAGGAGCTGCACAATGTTCTAGACTCCTATTCAAATAAAACCTTAATGTATCTCTTAACTTCTGGGACTGGGTTTTATACAAAGCATCCATATTTGTATTCATTCTGGGTCAACACTACCTGTGTCTGAAGGTAGAAACCAAAGTTATGGTTTCCATGACCAATTCCACTGTGTGTGATTATATATGGAGCACACAAATTCAACTGGGCTGCATTCAGTGAGGGCAGATTTAGGCAATAGATCTGCGGGAACAGAGTTCACTCTGAGGACCCTGCACTCCCACCACAGGCACTTCAGACCAGCCCTCATCTTCCAGGTTAATTTTGTGGGAAAGGGGCTCAGTCTGTACCTTTGAAGTACAAACCAAAGCACTGTGAAGGGAGATGGAGTTTAATTTCCAAAGCCCACTCCTGATTCAGAAGGACATGCTAAATCAGATGCAGTGATAGCCAAGAGAAAACTGTCTCTGCAAAACAAAGGGAGGGGAGAAGATGCAAAATGCAGGGTGCACGCTGAGAAAAATGCATGTATTAGTAGAAGAGAGTTGCCTGGCAGGTTCATCTTACAGAACATGTAACATATTTTAAAATGTTCAAAAACTCACCTCCCCACCAAGCCACACTTAGCATTTACCCATATGGTCACTGTGTAAGAAAAAAATCACAGGTTTCTGTCTTTCAACAGAGCAGTAGCTTTGGCATCTACCTGAAATTAGCAATGGTTGAGGGTCAATTCAGTTTTTATCAATATTGCTTATAAGTGATTAAAAAATCAGCAATCTAGCATTTACTAAGAAGTAGGAGGAATATTGGTTTGGCTACTTGGCAAAAGAAGAAGTAGGAATGCAGAACATCTTTAAAAATAATTCATATATCTTCTGTACTGCCTGATTTTAATCACTGTCTTTTTTTTTTCCCAGATATTTCTTGGTGCATTGTCTTTTGTTTATTTTGCTAAAGCACTGTCAGGAAGTTATCTAAAAAGTACTATCACACAAATAGAAAGAAGATTTGACATCCCTTCCTCTTTGGTTGGTGTTATTGATGGAAGTTTTGAAATTGGTATGTGCTGTAGAAACACATTTTTATTTTCAGAAAAAAAAAAGAGTGATGCAGTTTGTTCTGAAGAATGATTGCATGAATCTCCTTGAAACTTAAAACTGAGCAAGATTCACCTGGTAAAAATAAGTGGGGCTATCAGTATGATTATGTTCAATAGGATAAGGTTGTTGCTAATACAAGCAATCAGCATAGACATAAAAAGAAAAAATTGGTAAGTTAAGCACGTGGCTAATTCATACTAATAGATATTTTGAGTGTTGAATGAGAATTTTCCTGCACGAATTTCTGCAAGCAGAAATCCACCTCCCCCACAGGTGTTTGTCCTTTGTGATCTCCATTATTATTGGAGCATGTTATTAAGGACTATTAAGCATTATTTTTATTAAGCATTATTATTATTAAGCATTATGTCTATTACTAAGCAGCAGGAGGACAAACCTCTAACAGTAATCTACATTTCCTGTCCAGTCCCTCTCCTTCCCTCTTACACTAAGGTTTCCAGCATGTCATTGTCTCACAATTTCAGGTTACTGAATTTATCTCATGGATGTTCTGTGGACTGTGACACTCACAGGAATGAAATCTTACCCTAAGTGTGTACAACTCAGTTTGATTCCTCCTTTTTCTGCCTTTCTGGTTATTTGCTCTCTTCAGCTGGCACAGGCTTTCTCCTCTTTTCCAGCTGTTTATCCACAGCTTTATAGTTTTCCTAGCACAGGAGGCATTGGGCTCCTGCAGAATGCCTGGAAAAGGGAGAAAGTCCAACCCCACCAGCCCTGTCTCCCTGAAATCAGTGCCTGTGTTACACACCGGGAATTGTGATTTTAGGGGATCTCTTATCAACAAGCAGTAAAACTCAGTTTTCCTTTTGTACTCTCGAAGGGAACCTCCTAATCATAATTCTAGTGAGCTACTTTGGAGCAAAGCTTCACAGGCCAAGGATAATTGGAGCAGGCTGCTTAATTATGTCAGCTGGAACATTCCTAATTGCAATGCCCCAGTTCTTCATGGGAAGGTAAGTGCAGAGTGATCCCTGTTTTCCAGCTGGGCTGTGCTCACTGAATGGCACTCACTAAAACATTTAGGCATTGGTTATGATGATATAAATAGGCATATGGGGATGTGGTTCCTTAATTTAATTTTTTTTTGGTGAAAAGATTTATTACTGTAGAGCAAATAATTATTTCTTTTATAATTATTAAAAATATGATTTATCATTAAAAATAATTCTTTATTTTATAATTTATTACTGTAGAGCAAATAATTTAACATGTATACTCTTTTCAGTTGTAATCAGCTTTTTTTAAAATTAGTCTCTGATTTTGACTGGCCACATTTTGTTGTGGTTTAGGAATTGTTGAAATTACAGTAAAGAAGTCATGACTAAACTCAGAAAGACAATCTCAGCACAAGCCAGAGTATACACCAGTGTTTGATAATCTCTTAGTCCAAATTCATGTATCATAGTAGAGCAAAGTTCCTGTTAAACTGAAATTAATCACTGATGCAAAAAGAACCAACAGGACAATATTCATGTACAGCTGCAGTACAAATAGAGCTCTGTTCATCCCTTGAAAAGCACCACTGGCAATGGATCCAGATGGATTCTAATGGATGCAGATGAAATTTGCATTTAAGTGCTATAGGCCTATCTGGTAGTTACAGATCTGCTTGCTTTTTCTTATCAGTACTTACAGATAAATACAACTTTGTTTTCCAAACAGATACAGGTATGAAAGATTCCCTTCCACCATAAATTCCACTGTCAGCCTCTCTCCATGTCTGCAGGATAAAAGCCAAACTCCACTCTCAGCCCTGGAGAAATCTCAAGCAAAAATAAATGCAGGTGAGAATTGTCTCTGTTAAATCCTGGGGCTGGTAGTGCTTGCTGTCATTAATGTTCCCCAAATCCTTCTGTCAGGAGATCCTAGTTTTGATTAGAAGGAAGTGAAAGAGTTTTCTAAAAAGAGTTGTGGTGGCAAATTTATAAAACCAGCAAAATTGTCCTGTCTTTGAGGCAGCTCATGCTAAAAATTTTTCTACCTTAAGCTATTTCACAGTTTTCCTACTGTTTCTCCCACAACAGAAGTATTTTAGGAGCCCTGGGCTTTCAGTGTCAAACTGCTACTACAAACACATGGTTGCTGTCTCTTGCTGTGCCCACAGGGTGTGAGAAGGAAGCAGGCTCTTCCATGTGGATCTATGTTTTACTTGGAAACCTCCTGCGTGGAATAGGTGAAACCCCCATCCAGCCCCTGGGAATTGCATACATTGATGATTATGCTGTTGAAGAGAATGCTGCCTTATATATTGGTAAAATAAATATCATTTCTTTTTCCTCATGGATTTCTCCCCAGAGGAGAGAACTGAATAGTTTTGAATAATGGAATGAATGTTATTGAATTAACTTGCCCTCATTGTTTTGTGTGCATGATTTCCAATATTAAAGTTTATTTAACAGTCATGTACACCCAAGGGACCAAGTTCTCATTTAATTATACCAGCACAGTTCCATTATCTTTAATTTGGTGAAAGAATTTGACCTTGGGTTCCCGCTGTTACCCTAATCTTCCTAATTCTTCTGGATGTGGGCTGCTGAGCCTCTGTGCACATTCAGTTCTCTGGAAAGTGATACAAGCAGGCTCTCTTTTAAGCACTTAAAATAGAATTTCAGTGGGCACTCAAAACATTCCTCCAGATTCATGTAGGATTATAAACAATAGTACTGAAGCTTTAGGAAGTTGGGATCACCCTTTTTTTGTGTTCATTTCATACCTGAAATATTACCAAAAAGTCCTATCTCACCTGCTCTTGACAAGTTTCCAATCAGGCAAAAGGCAAAAAATCAGATTCTTTCTGTAGAAGATTCCCTCTTCCCAGATTTCCAGGTGAATTTTTCAAATTCAAAGTATTCAGAAAGTTTGGCTGAGGGTGTAGTGAAACATATTAACAGTAGAAACCAAAGTAAAGGGATTTCTCAGCCTGTTCAAGGCCTACCTCAACTAAAAGTGATCAGTTAACTTTAAAAAAATTACATTTGCTCCCCAGTTACTGTGATCCTGTCAGCTAAAGCATTTCTAGCAATTGTAGGTTGATGCTGCTGTTGAGTTCAGGCCATTCCATTTGCTGACATTTTTTCCTTCAGGCTGAATGTAACTCTTTAATTGGATAACAATAAAAAGTGTCATCATAGTGGGGAAAATGACTTTTTTTCTTCTTGGAAATATTTCAATTTGTGTAACTGTGTCTTTCAATATTTCAATGTGTGTCTCTTGCTGCCCATCACATTCCATAATCTGCTGTCAGATGCAGAAGAACCAGTGTCCTTTTTTAGCTCAGGAATGTAACAGTGCCCTGTTTTCCCTTCCAGGCTGTGTGCAGACAGTGGCAATTATAGGGCCAATATTTGGCTTTCTCCTGGGATCCCTGTGTGCCAAACTTTACGTTGACATTGGCTTTGTGGATCTGGGTAAGTCAGAACACTCGGGCTTTACAAACCCAGTCAGGGTTTTTAAATATAGGCTCCAAAATGCCTAAAAATAGGCTCCAAAATGCCTATTTTTGGCCAAGAGCTCTCTGGTTATCCTCTAGGCATGAGGGGCTAGCAGGGGTAGAGTGAGCACTCTGTGAAATGAGAAGGATGACAGCAGTGTAGGGGACAGATGACAGCAGAATGGGCTGGCAAGGAGGATGGGGGTTGAGGAAGAAGGAGCTCTGACTCTTCCTCAGCCCCAGCAGATCTGCAGCTGGTGCATTCAAGAGATGCTCTGCTAAGAGGTTCTGGGGAGATCACAGGAGCCAGGAGGAAAGAGGACTGAGGCTCAGGATCCTGCATGTGCCTTTTTAATATTTGTTGCCTAGAAACGTGGTTTGGCAGGGGGCACCACCTGATTGCTCTTCTTCAGAGAAAACAATAATAAAAAAAATAGGAGGAAAATATTTTTTTTCCTGAGGTTTTTGTGCAGAACAGCCTGGCTGGGAGCAAGTGAGTGGCCACCTGGACTGCCACAAGTGCTGGTGCTGGCAGCATCTCTGGGGCGGTGCAGGTGGCACAGCAGTGTCAGGGCCAGACTGCTGCTCTGCCCCAGCAATTAGTGAGTCCTCAGCATGTCCCCACAGCTGCTCCTGTAAAACACCCACAGTGACACAGAGCACAGCTGGACCTGGATGGAAAAGCCACACTGCAAACCCACCTTCCTTATCAGCAGCACATATCCTCCAGATGCGTTTATTTCATATAAAGGTCTCCTCGAGCCAGGTCTCATAAGCTCTTGGAGATCTATGTCACACCCAAGATAGCTCAGCCACCTCAGATGGCATAAAATCAGCTGGATGGCTTCTGTGGCAGTGTTGGAAACAGAAAAGTTTTAATAAAAGGCAAAATAACAAAGCTCTTTACAGAGAAAAAACGAGCCTGGTGCAAGAGGCTCTTGCTCCTGGTAAAACACCTCACAAAAGCCATTAGTTTCTTTGTTCTCTTCTTTTTCTAGTGAATTGCTTAGGCAGGACTTTTTGGTTTCTGTCCAGTTGGCTATCCTTAATTTTGAGGTGACTCCCAGGTCCTATGATTGTCTTTTTTACCCAGTTGAGGAGAGAAACTTCTGGGCTTTTTTTCCTTTTTTAGGAGACAAAGGACAGTTTTGTCACTCCATAAACAGGGTGCACATTCCTACATTTATTTGTTTCTTCTCTTCCCCTTTCTGCAGACAGCGTCACCATCAGCCCCAAGGACGTGCAGTGGGTGGGAGCGTGGTGGCTGGGCTACCTGATAGCTGGGCTGATCAGCATCCTGGCTGGCATCCCCTTCTGGTTCCTGCCCAGGCACCTCCCCAGGCCCGAGGGCAGGAAGGACTCCAGCACCTCCTCTGAGCACTCCAGGTTCATCACTGAGGACAACAGGGACCAAGGCACATCCTCCTGGCAGCAGGCGAAGATTGCAGAGTTGGCAAAAGGCAATTCACTTGAGTTTTCTTGCTGATTGATCCGTTTTTCTCTCAGAGGCTTTTAGACTTAAAAATGTTATACTTTCTGAGTCCTTATTTTAATGGTCTCAGAATTCTATTTTTCCCCTTTCACTCTCCAACTCCATAGTACACACAAAAAGGTCTTGTCAATGTTGTCTGGATTTGCAATTGCATGAGAAATGGCTGAGATTCGTAAAATTACAATAGAGGCCCAGCACATATCATGAAGCTCTGCAAAAATGTTAGTGATTGTTGCAGAAGCGATGCTCAAAAAAACCCAACCCTTTTTTTTTTGCTAATTATTTTTTTCCTGTAAGTTCATGTGTTAGGAAAACAAGTACAATATCTGATTGGAATATAGATGGGCACAGAGCAGGTACAGTTTTAGAGGAGGCTGTCTGGATTTAGACAGGAGCTGGTTTGCACAATTGCATTTGCTTGGCCATGCTTTGCCAAATGCATTTTCCCTCAGAACTTGAATCTGCACCTCAATATTTCTGTGCTTACTGTCAGCTGTGCTGAGCACTCTGCCCCATATTAAGCTAAACACTGCTGTGGCTGTTGAGAACACAGAGGAACCAAATCATTCCTGGTTTATGGTGGAAAGAAGGTATTTAAAACAAGATATCTCTTCTGGGGAATTGATGCTTAGTGTTTTGCTCCACTGTTCCTCCGTCCAGAAATGAGGGAGCTGTTAGGAGCATCAGGGAGCTTAACAGATTCCCTCTGAAATGTTTTGGGGTTTTTTGGAAGGGGCAGACATGTTACAAAGCATTATTCCAGCAGTTATTCTCTCTCTGGTCTGCTTGTTATTTCTGCTCTTTTGTCTTGCAGACTTCTTGCCATCACTGAAGAACCTCTTTGGGAATCCAGTTTACATTCTGTATTTGTGTGCAAGTATTATTCAGTTCAATTCTTTGATTGGCATGGTGACATATAAGCCAAAGTATATTGAGCAACAGTATGGGCAGACATCTTCAAAAACTAACTTTGTTATAGGTAATGCTCTATCTGCATCTTGATATCTTTGAAATGGACATTTTAGGAGTGGCATATACATATAGGAAAAATCATATTTGTTTTAGGGTATGATCATTTCTTCTTCCTTGTCTGACTTTAAGTAATAGTTCATAGAAGGTAAGTTATTTCATTTCTGCTTCAGCACCAAATAACTCTGAGTTTATCTATGCAAGAGTTACTGTAAAAGTTTACATGATGTGATATCTTAATTCCCATTTCACTGGAAATTTGAAAAGTCCTTCCCCTTCCTTTCCCTTCCCCTTTCCCTCTACATCATATGTACATACATAATGTATGTACAATGCAAGAAAATAATGAGGAAATCATTTTAAAACAGTTTACATAAATTTATCAGAGAGATCTACTGCCTTGGTGGCTTCCCATTTATTTCAACAAAACAAAGATCTGTTCAGTGAGTGCTATGGATGACACTCTGAAGAGATTTGTGTTAAATGAACGGAAGACAAGTCATATCCCTTAGAGCACAAGAGAGAGAAGCTTCTTCAGCCTTTGGGTACAGAAATCAACATTTTTATAGCTGACTTCAAGAGGGTGGACTGGACTGCCCAGCTGCTGAACCTGCATGTGGGGTTCAGCTCCAGAAGTCCAGGGCTTCAATAGCATTAGCAGCAAAGAGGTTTACATCTCCCCAGCCCAGAGGGAACTGCCTTGTTCCAGAGCAGCATTAGTTGCACAGCAACAGAGGTCTATATGTGCAGAAAAGCTGATATGATCCATTGTGCTATGTTAATTCCATTCAAGATAGAAGCTGGAATTTCCTGGCACCAAACTCGTCAAAGCAAGGAGAAATCTTCGAATATAGTTGATGGCCAAAGAAAGTCCAGAAAACAATCCCTACATTCAGTGTAGTACTTCTCATTGTATTTAAAGATTTTCTGGAGCTAAGCTTTCAGGTATGTGCAGAGTGAGGATTAAGAACCATTGGATTTCTCTGAGCACTGGGACTATATCCAACAGGGAGTGTGTGATGGCTTGGTTAGGGGAGGATCCTGCTGAGTAGCTGTCCCTGCAATAAGGTGATTTTAATTCTTCCTTCTTCTTTCTCTCCAAACCCACCCCTCCTAAGGAGTCTGAGGGCTGACTCAACCTCACAGTGCTTATTTCTTTTTCAAACATCTTTTACTCTTTCTTCTTCTTTTTTAAAAAAACAGTTTCTGTCACAATCTCTCATAGATATCAAAAATTTCAGAGCAATTTGAAGCACTAAAAAAAAATTAAAAGGCAGGTCTTGCTCTGGCTTTTGTAACATTAGATAAAACTAAATTTGTCCTCTAGGAATCAGCAGATGACTCCACTGACAAACTAATTGTGGAAAAAAACACCTAGCTTAAGGAATTGGAAGAGTATTATCTAAACTTTAGCCATAATCTCTCTGTCAACGAACCAGCAAAGAAGCATGTCCTTGGGAGTAAGTTTTTCAAAGCTGTCCCAGCACCTTTGTAAGACTCCAAGGATCACGCTAAGTCTGGACAAAATAAAATGCCCTGACTGATGATTTTTTATGTTTTGTTCCTTCATCTGATTGCTGCAGCTGTTTTTGTGGCTGACAAGGTTTGTCCGTCGAGCTGGGGTCTTCATTAATACAGATTTTTCTGTATGATTTCAGGTCTTATTAACATTCCTGCTGTAGCCTTTGGCATATTCTCTGGAGGACTGATCATGAAGAGATTTGGAGTCGGTGTTGTGGGGGCTGCAAAGCTTTCCCTGGGATCGTCTTTCTTTGGTTACCTTTTGCTGCTCTCCTTGTTTGCCATGGGCTGTGGGAACTCGGAGGTGGCTGGACTGACTGTGTCCTACCATGGGTACGCTGGCAGGGAAGAAAGGGCTTCTGCAAACCCAACTCCTTCCTCATTTTGTTTCACAGAGTAGATCTTGTTGAAAAGAGAGTGGCTGACCTGAATGTGCTTCCCAAAAATTTGATTCAAATCAATGGAAACCACTCCATTCCAGTGGGTGTTGTGTCATGACCCTCTCATGATTGTGGCATAAACCAGTGGGGCTTTTGTCACAAGTACAGATTATTTTTCTGATTACTTTTTAATTATTATTGCCATGGGACCCATCCTATTAGCTCAGTGATTCCTGGAAATGTGAGTAGCTCAGTAGGGGGGAAGAGATTCAATTAATTGTTTCTTGCCTTTGTGTGCCACTGAACAATGAATGGCATTTAAGAGCCTTTGAACTCAAAACTTAAGGATTCATGGATTAATCATAAGGTACACCTGAGGCTAGCATTTTACCCATGCTATTACTCTGTAAAACTAACTTTTTGGGAGGAGTTTCCAGCACTGACTCACAGCAGCTGCTCCACTAGTGTCTGATGACTGAATTTGACAGAGAGCTGTCATGCAAGGTATCAGACACTCAGTTTGGATGAATCCCATTCTGATCAGCTCCTTACTAACTTCTGCAGAGACCATTTCCCCTGAGTAACTCACTCCCTTCTGTGCCACTTGGGTAGTTGTGTTAAAGCTGCTCAACCAAAGCCTTAGAAAATCTGAGAAAATGCGTGAATATAAATTGGTAGCTGTCCCTGTAATGAAGTACATACTGTCTCACAGTAGGTGGTGAGATAGTGTGAAAACCTTTGGATAACAGAGAAATGAGGATTTACACTGCCGTGTGGGTGTGAAGAGACAGCCTTTAATGGGCTACAGAGGGAAGGGGTGGCCAGGTGCTCCTGGCACAGAGCATCGCCCCGCAGGTGATTGTGGTTTCCTCCACATCTGCTGGGCAGCTCCTCTGCAGCTTCTCTTTTTTCCACAGAGCTAAACCAATGAGTGACCACGAGCAAGCCCTGTTTTCAGAGTGCAACTCAGGCTGCTCCTGTTCCAGGAACGACTGGGACCCCATCTGTGGGGAGAATGGAGTTACCTACGTGTCCCCCTGCCTGGCCGGCTGCCGCGCGTCCAGCGGCACCGGGAAAAACACCGTAAGGCAACCCTGCATTGCTGTGTGGGGTGGGATCTTTATATCTGATACAGGGTGTGAGAAAATCCTTCATTTATGTGTGAGGTGGGATCTTTGTATCTGATAGAGGGAGTAAGGCAACCTTCCATTTCTGTGTGAGGTGGGATCTTTATTTCTGATACAGGGTGTAAGACAATCCTTCATTTCCATGTATGGTGGGACCTTTCTTTCTGATACAAGGCACCGGGAAAAATACCATAAAATCCTTCATTTCTGTGTGAGGTGGGATCATTCTTTCTGATAGAACCAGGTCTGTCAAAGTGGATTTAAACTGAGCACAGCACATCCTCTTCAGCCCTGAACTCCTTTTTAGCAATCTGGCACTTACATTTAAAAGTTTTTCACTTTGCTGTTGCCAGCAGAAATCACAAGCAGAGAATGTTGGAGGCTTTTTTTTTTTTTTTTTTGAGCTTTTGGCTACCAAGACTGTTGGAAGAAACCCTAATAACTAGATTCATCAACAGTAGATACTTTATAATTTTCTCCTTCATTGCATACGCCTTTTCCTTTCGTAAAATATTTCCCACTTTGGACTTAAACTTTCAGCCATCCAGAATGTGCAATTCCTGAACATCCACTTCCCCACCATTTAGGTTTTAATACACTTTTGCCTGCTCTCTTCCAGGTATTTTTTAACTGCAGCTGTGTGGTGGGAACCTTTGAATCTTCACAAAGCTCCTCAGCTGTGGTGGGACCGTGTCAAAAAGGAAACGAGTGCCCCAAAATGTTTCTGTATTTTCTAGTAATATCAGTTATCACTTCATACACTTTGTCAGTAGGTGGCACACCTGGATACATACTGCTCCTAAGGTAAGGAATAATTCCTGCTAGCATTGCCAAGTGTTTTCAAAGTGTTTTGACACGTCACTGGTACTCCCTCCCCTCCTGCTATTCCTAGTATTGGGAAATGTTTTGCAGCTATGCAAGATGGCATATTCCATATAATTGTAGCTCCCAGATTTTTCTCCTTGTTTTAACAATCATTTTAGCATGAGATTTTTTTTTTCCCCTATTTCCTAATCACAGATTTATTGAATGCTTGTCCCAGTGCATATTTAACTGCTGGAACTATTTGTCCATCACTGTAAGCTTTGAAGCTAATTTTAGCAAGTGCAAAAAGCATTTAATACTACAAGTGCCTGATCTGGATTTTTGTCAGCTACTTGCAATGTTTGGATTCCAAGTCCTGCTCTGCTCTGTTTTGGAAACCTTTCTTTCTCAGTTCCTTTTTCCAAATTATTTCCAGATGGGCACATTCTACTTCTCAAACAAAACAAAGAGTAAATCCAGTCTAACTAATCTTTAGTATTATAGCTGTGTTTTCTTGCTCCCAAATTCTCCTTGGTTTTGAATTCAATTTTCTGGATCAGGCCCTGTCTCATTGCTGGTGTCTTTATAGCATATGGACAATGCCAGTATTAGAACTGGTTGAACATAAGCTTTATGGAAAAACCTAAATAAAGAAATGTGACTTCAGCTAGGGTTCCATCACAGTCCTTGAAGCAGAATAAATATTCACACAGAGACTTTCAGAAATGGCTGAGGTGAGGATCCTTCTCCACTGCCCTGCACAAACCCTGCCAGTGAGGTGTGCACAAGCTGCACAGCTTTCCTCACACAACTTGCAGGGTTACCACTGAATGCTGCAAAACCTCACAGCATCTCTCTCTCTCCCCAAGGTCTCTCTCCAAGAACAATCACACTGTAATCCATTTTACACCATTTTTATTGAAGCTCCTGCACAGCTGAGCTGTCCCTGTGCCAGGATGAGGATGATTCATTGTGGTGGTGTTCACAGGGGTCCCAGGACGAGGGAAGAGATGAGAATCTTGACTTCATGTTTCAGAAGGCTGATTAATTATTTTATGATATATATTGTATGAAAAGAAAATTATATATTAAAACTATACTAAAGAAAGAGAAAGAAGGCATCAGAAGGCTAGCAAAGAAAAGAATGGAATGATAATAAAATCTTGTGACTGACCAGAGTCCCAACACAGCTGGACCTGTGATTGGTCACCAAGTAGAAACAACTCACATGAGACCAATCAAAGATGCACCTGTTGCATTCCACAGCAGCAGATAATTACTGTTTTTCTTTTCCTCTGAGGCTTCTCAGCTTCTCAGGAGAAAAAATCCTAGCAAAGGATTTTTCAGAAAATATGTCTGTGACAGTTCATAAGTGGAGGGCTTGCAGCAAAGCCTTCAGGGTTTGTGCCAGATTTCTCTCTGTGGTTGCTTCTGCCACGTTGGATAAATATGGGCATAAGGCTGTGCAGGAGTGCAGTTCCTTTCCCCTTTCCCTCCACATGAAATCTTCCTTCTATCCATAAGGCACATAGTGGAAAATGTGCAGATCTGGTACCACACAGGGCCTCAAAATTGTGGTAGTCAAGCTCAACCTTCTGCTTTCTTCTTGTCTCCACTGCATAAAAAATGGAGTGTTTGGGAGATGTTAATTACGGAGCACGTGCAAGCTCAAATCCCACGGAGCTGCCTGCCCTTCTCAGCCATAAGAACCTGCTCTTGGGGATCTTACTGCTTAATCAATTCAGTCAGAAAAGCTTAGAAAGGTTTTCAGTTACAATACTACACTACATTGTTATATGAAATCAGTAAAACAGTTTTATTGGTTCTGCTCCAATGCTTTTATTGCTGTTGAAAATCATTTTACTTTGAGAGACATTTAAGAGAAACTGAGAAGTCATGTGTTTTCCTGGTGGATTGGAGGCATCCACCTTTGATGTGCAGCTTAGTTTCAATTTCAGTAAGTTCAATCCTTTTTTTACTTTTTTTTCTGCACTGCAAATGACCTGTGGGCACAACTCCACTTTAAGCTCATGCTTACTTTTGTCTTTTTTGAAATCCATCACTGATTGTCTTTCTCAAAAAATCTGGCTGAATTGAAAGTGTGCTTCTGTTACCAGAAGGAAAATAAATTTTCCTTGACACAAATAGTCCCAAGGTCAAGTTGCAGGCTTCATTAAGTATTTTTTTCCAATGATCACTTTTAAAAATTATTCGGCATTCAGTCATCTCTGTTAAGATTCCAGCACTTAACCAAGCTGATGTTTTCAGATGAGCAGCTATCACTGCATCTGCCATGGAGGACAAATACAGCTAAATCCCTAAAAGCCTGTAAGATTTAGTGACATTTACTCTGATGGTTTGCACACTGAAGTCATTGAAATACGCTTACAGCTGGTGACCAAGTCATTTCGGAAATGTCATTTTGGTGATATTAGTGTAATTACAGCAGCCAGGGAATTTGGAAAGCCTTGAGGTTTTTGGGAAAAAAGCCCTGCAGTTCAGATAGCTGTTGTTCAAGCACCAGCTATTAATAGCAGGACATTAGGCAGTGAAAAGGAAGTCTCAGATCTCCCTAAGAGGTCTGGCTATCACTCAGCTTCACAAAGAGCTCCTGTTTCCTTGCAAAGACAATACAAAGAATAAAACAATTTTTTTTCATCTGAGAGTGAATATTTTTTTGCAGGATATAAATCCTGTGAAACACATATCAAATATCCAGTTATTGGTTTTATTTTCCACTTTTTGCTTTCTATGCCCTCAGATTAGTTTAGGAGGACTCTAGGCTGAGGAGTGCTTGTGTAGCAGGTGTCTAGTAGGGGGAGCAAGACACTGTTCTTCCAGCTCAAAATCATTTTACAGGCATGCCCTCATAGATGGCAGTGCTTTTATAAACCACAATCAACAGACTGTGTGATGATAATCCATGGCCAGGGCATTAGAGAATAACGTGTGGAAAACCACCCCTGGTGAGAAGCAATAAAGTTTGTTCTGAAATGTCTTCATTATTTTTTTATACATATTCCCAATTACATTAATTTTTGCAGGAGCTGAGACTGTATCTCCAGAGTGCTATGTTCATCCACAGTGACAAATTGAATTTCAGCCCAGTTCATTTTTTATTATTTGAATATTTATTTAAATATATGTATTATTGAATAGAATGACTGTGACAGAAGTTTTATTAATCACCATATTGATGTACGTGTTACCTCACATACCAAGAATTCCTTGTTTGACCATGTGACTCGCACTACCCACTTGCCAAAATCAAACATATATCCCGATTTGTGCTGTAATAGTCAGTCTGGTAGGTGCTGGAGGAGCAGCAGGTTTGAGCAGCTGCTGGGGCAGAGGTGATTCCTACAAATCTGAGAGGCTCCATACACACCCTGCTGCCAGCGGGGTGGGAAAGGCAGCTTTTCCCCTGCCCATCACCTCTCCCTCCCTCCAGGAGCCAGGATGATGATCCAAGGCTGGAGCAAGGCTCATCTGGAGCCAGAAGAGTTGGATGTGTGTGTAGGACTCACCCTGCAATCTCAGCAGGCTCCAAATGCAGATGGTCTGCCCTGTGAGAGAGTGGCCTGGAGGATTTGCCTTTACAGGAGGTGTGATCCTCATCTAGAAAGGGTGCAAGGAAAAGTGAGTGCCTGAGTACCTTAGACTAGCCTGGGACTTGATCCTGAATTTCAGGGAGTGTCTAATTGAATAAAGCCATCCAGTGGATGCATATTTCACTAGCAGTTTTCTTGTCAACTGTGTTAGTAACACCTAAGTGCTGATATCATCTGAAAATCCACAACCATCTTAAAATGTGATGTTGAATATAGATGTTCAGAATTCCTAGACGCTGTTCTGGTTTTATCACCTTTTTTACATATTTTTGCAATTTGCTCAAAGTCCATGACATGAAGGAGGAAAAGGTCACATTTCTTTCCTTTCTCTTGCTTTCAATTTGTGTTCTAATTAGATACACCTGATGCTTTATTTCTAGTTAACACCTCTTTTATTATTATTATTTTCAGGTGTATTAAACCCCACTTGAAATCATTTGCACTTGGTATCTATACCCTGGCAATAAGAGTACTTGGTAAGTCCATTTGTACTCCTGAGTCAGTTTTAATTCACTCCTCACTAAACATTTATCTTAGAATTAAACATTGGTTGTTGGAAAGAACAATGTCTATCTGCAAATAGATATCATATGATTTTTTTTTAAAAGTTGGAAAAAGGAAACTGCTTTGTACTTCATAAATCAGATTATTATATCTTAGGTATAATTAAAATACACAAGGACAATATTTATAGAGATGTGATCCTGTAGACTATGAAGCCAACATTAAAATTACATCTTGTCTCCTTACTCAGCAACAAGTGTAACAGAACAGCTGTGGCTGAGAATTTGTGATTGCTTTTCAGGAATACATTCACAAGTTTCTAAGGGAATTAATGTGACTGGCTACAGGTGTGCCTGGGGGTGGGGTTCACTGCAGCCTTGTGGCAGAGCCATCTGAAATCAAGGGTAACATGAGATGCCAATGAACTGGAAATTCTAAAATCCTCTAGGTCTTCATGAAAAAAAAATCAGCAAGAAGCAGGTCACCTATTTACATGAGCAGAGTTAGATGAACTGGAAATTATATCAAAGCAAGCTGTTGGCTTCTTTCTTACACCTTTGCAGGCCAGGATTTTCTCTCCACGGTTACATTCTCCTCCAGCACCCCAAGTGACACAGAATGCAAGGTGTCCCCATCAGCACATGAAAAAGGCTTTTCATTTCCATCAGCCCCAAGAACTGCAGTAGGTTTGCCCCTGCCACAGTAGGATCTCAAGATACTTGGGGGATTCCTGCAGCCCCACTGCAGGCTCCAAACCCCACTGTCTCTGTCCCTTCTCATCCCCACCCTACACCTAGGCTGAACATGCTCCATTGCTCTCAAGAAAGGAGAATTATCTCCTACTTTTTTTCCCCAGAGATGTCCCGCAGGGTGAGGAAACCAAACTGTGGCCAGAACTCCTTCCAGGGACTTCCAGAGGCTTTTTGATGTTTTGTCATGTTTTCCTGGCTTCCCACAGGGAGGAAAGGGTGGTGTGTGCCTGGGCAGCACAAGGCACGTCTTCCCCAGCCAGCGTGCAAGTGTCCTTGCTGTTGGAATATATTATTGAATGTTCTGTGTGAACCTGCTTCTAGATCGAAACTGATCACCCTGGACAGTAAATTTCTCACCTCTGTTTGTTTGTTCAATACACCCAGCGGGTATTCCAGCCCCAGTGTATTTTGGAGTAGCCATAGACACCACTTGCCTGAAATGGGGCAGCAAAAGATGTGGGGGAAGAGGAGCATGCAGACTCTATGACGCCAGTGCACTCAGGTAATGCTCTTTTCCATTCCTTCCTTACCTTTTGTTCTTAAAGTACATCTAAACCTGGCACTGGTAGCAGAATTTCTGTTGATAAATTTGAGTGAAAGATCTGAAACTGAATGAAAAACTCTGACTAACAATATTAACAATAATGCTCACATTTCACTCCTTTGATTCAATCTCTTTTTGGATAGAAGGGGTGGATCATCTTGTTTCAGTATCAGCTGTAAATAATTGTCTTTTAATAATTCACCAAAAAATGTTGTGTTGAAACCTCAGTTTTATGCTAAAGCTTCCCTCGGCTTTCAATATCTCTGCTGTCATAGTGTATGTGTAAATAAGTTATTAAAGCTAATTTTTCTCCATGCTGGAGCTGGATCTAAAAATGAAAGGCAAAGGTGCCACAAAACATGCTTGGCTTATCTAGAGGCTTAAGTGCAGAATTATCTTTATCAATTTATTGCTAGAGGACAGTAATTGTCTGAACTGCATTTGTGAAAGGCTTCTCCAGAAATGAAGAATGGAATAACAGTGGTAAGAGGAAAATGGGAGAACAGGTTGTCCCTTCTCCCACCACAAGGAAAATAAACATGAGAGAAGGGTACATCTTGTTTTGAAAACTTGAAGGAAAGAGCAAAATCTCAGCTGGGACTCTTTTTGCTAATAAAACATTATGATGTTATTGTTGCTGCTGTTGTTGCTGTCATTATGCCTGCAAAGCAAAAATGCCATCAAATGGTCTTGTCACCACTGGTACTGTTTATATATTAAAAAATAGAGTAACTACCCCAAAAATATTAGTGCTATTCTTACTGAGACACATTGGGGTGGAGGTCAGTCAATGCCTGAGATGCTTTCTGGAGCACAGAGCACTCTCCACCTGACCTGGGTGAGCTGACAAACTCCCCTCTCCAGGGTCATCCCCTTGACTGAAGTGTCCTTACCCAGCCTTACCTGATGAAAAGATGAATGTGTCCTTGATGCCTTCTGGTCGTGTGTTGGCTCTGATCAATCATTTCTCTCTCAGGTATGTGTACCTGGGGCTGACTTTGGTCTTGGGCACGGTATCCATTTTCTTCAGTGTTGCTGTCCTTTGGGTTCTCCGAAAAAAGTCATCTCCACAAGATGAGACCCTCTCAGCCAACGGGGAGAGAGGCGCCTGTGGGACAAAGAGCAGAAAAGATAATTTTGTCAATAGTGACCAGTTTATTCAGTCAACTTACTGGCCAGAAAAGGAGACCAGGCTTTAGGAAAACTCAGATCTCCACCGTGCTTTTACCCAGTGAGTGGTGTTCCGGGCTAAAATCCATCATCAGTGAAGCAGTATCTTAGTAGCCGCCCTGAAAATGTTCATCCTCTTGAAAGTTTCACTGTGAACCCCAAAAGCAAAGACCCCAATATTTTTTAGCACGTGAACAGCTCTGAAAACACTGCTCACCCTTTTTTTCTGCTGAGTGTGGGGATTTCCTATGGCTGGGGAGGTGCATTGTGCCTTCACCCAGACCCGGTTTTTGCAGCTGCCCCTCAGCTCCCTCCCTCCTTGGGAAGCTGCCAGAGCTGCTGCTGCCCCTCGGTGTCCCCCTGGGTGTGAGGGGCAGTGGGGAGGCTGCCCTGCAGCTCCCTCTGCCATGGCACCAGCCAAGGGGGGCACAAAACCTGACTTGGCCACCTGGAAGGTGCAGGGATCTCCGGCACAGAGCCCATCCTGGCCAGCAGCAAGGCACGGTGCAGAAGGAAGGTTTGCTGGGAGGAAAAATCAGCCACGGGCTCTGGGCACCTCATGGGTTCCATCCATAACACCTGGGATGTGAGTGTTGTGGTTAGGAATCCATTTTCCAGTAGCTTTTGTTGCAGCACAATGATCAGCAATAGAAGTTGTGGTTAACCATCAGCAATAGCAGTTGTCCTTACAAAGAGGCCACAAGAGTACCATCCAAAGGAAACTGGGATGAAAATAGAGCTTTTTTTAGATCTCCAGCAGTTTCTTGCTACTTGCTAGTACTCAGTGTACTAAATAATTCCATGCACTTTATGATGTAATAACAAAATTATGCAAGATACATATGATTTATATTTTAAAAAGCTATGACAAGACAGCTTGGGAAAAATAAAATTAAATTTAATTAAAAGACCAGGTGACTTGGGGCTTTTCCTTTTAATTTATTGTATTTTCCAGCTGAAACTAAGACATTTCTGGGGCTTTGTCAATATTTAATATTAATTATATTTGGGGTGGAGAGTGCAAAGGATAGCTGTTTAATGTGAAAAAAATCTCAGGAAAGCTTGCACTGGAAAAGATGATGGTGGGTCCACCGGGATGTCCTTTAAAGCAACCAGAATTTTTGAGCACATGGTGAAAGGTAGGCTTCATCCTTCACCACAATATTGGCCGAACAAACCCTCATCCCATCATTTGTGTCCAAGCAGTGACTGTAGGTACCCTGCTGCCTCTCCTATGGGGTGCATGAGGAGGGGCACTGCATAAGAGTGGGATTCACTGGGCTTTATCAATGATCAGTGATCAATGTCTGTCCTGTGCCATCAGGGACCTACCTAATCCACTCAATAGCAGCACCAAGAAGGATAGTGCTTAAGCACCAAAAATCTGCAGAAGGTAAGGCTTTAAACCCATTACTGGGGAAAATGCATTTGTCAGAGGAAGAGCCAATGTCACCCAGATTTGCCTCATGGGTGAGTGTTTGACAGTGGCCTGGAATTTGGAGAGCCAGTCTCCTGTCCCAGATCTTTGTCCTCCCAGGTGAGTGTCAGAGGTTATGGGCACTGAGGTCCTGCACATTTGTGGCTGTTCACACTGGGCTCAATACCACTGGATATTGAACTAAACATAATTAAAATAATCTGAAGATTTATGAATATGGGACTAAGGCAAGAGTTGTGGTTGGGGTGAATCACAAAGAATGGCATTCCTATCTCAGGTGTCATTCATATTACATCATCATAAAAAGAGCACAAAATGTCAAACTGCACCAGCACCCAGGAGTAAAAACAATGCTGGGAGCCTCCCTTAGCCCCCCAAGGAGGGCACTTCTCATAGAACTGAGCTGTCACATCCCCTGAGAGAAAGGAGGAACCCATCTAAAGTGCACACTGGGATAGAAAAGGAGAGATATTTGCATTTCACTCAGTGCTTAATGTTGTATGAGTGTCAAAGCAATGGGGACAATTCCTGCTTTGTGGATCAGTCCTGGTGAGGACACTGCCGCTCACCATCTATGAAGCTGTCACAGGGCCAGGAAAATTCACTGATTTCACCTGGGAGAGAGAAAATTTTCTTAGGAGCTGGAAAAGTGCTGTGTGTGGATTCAGTAGGAGAATGATGTCGATAACACACTGGTGTTTTGATTGTTGCTGAATTGTGTTTACCCCAAGTCAAGGACTTTCCAGCTTCCCATTCTCTGCCAGTGAGAAGCTGCACAAGAACTGGGAGGGAGCATGGTCAGGGCAGCTGGTCCAGACTAGCCAAAGGGATATTCCCTACCCTGGAATGCCATTTCCAGTGTATAAACTGGAGGGAATTGACCAGGAGGAACCAGTGGTTGTTAAGGAACAGACTGGATATCAGTCAGCAACCATATCAGGCATCAAAAAGTTGTCTTTCTGAGGTTTTGTTTCTCTTTCTTTTTTTCTCCGTTTTCATTGCAATTATTATTATTCTATTTTATTTTATTCTAATTATTAAACTGTTCTTAACCCGTAGGGTTTACCTTTCTTTTTTTCTTTTCAATTTTTTCAATTTTTTTCAATTCTCCTTCTCTGTGAGGGCAGGATAAGCAAGCAGCTGCATGATATTTAATTGTTGGCTGGGGTTAAATCACAACAGGAAAATAAAGAAATTAAGATAATAAACATATTCTACTCTAGTTCAGAAAGAAACAAGGACAGAAAAAATCAGCTTCATGGGTTATCTCCTATGGCCATATATTAAGCCTGTAGTTGGTGAGTAATTCTATAAAATACAGGCTTTCCTTCCATAACCCATTTTCTTTACACATAAGAATACCAGAAAAGAATTTGTTTCAGTAACTCTTATTTGCATTATATTTTGAAAATGTCCATTTTTCTCCTCCCTTCCTTCAACTATGATAATCCTGTAAATTAGCAAGCTGATAAGAAACCATTCCCACTTTGAACTATTTTCAAGTTGCTGCTTTATTTTAGTGCTTTAAGTAGTAGCATGGATTCCTGGATGAGTGTCTGACCACAGATACACATTCTGGACTTGTTATAATACTTGAAAAAATTATCTCAGCACTGTTTGGATCTGTGAGCATCTTCCTACCAGAATTCTTCATCTTAAAGTGTATCTGCAACTTGGTGCTGTCTCACCAAGGTCCACAAACCTGGATCTTTTCTTTTCTTTTTAGAGCTAGAGACACTAAATCACAGCCAAGAGACTGCAAAGAAGCAATCACCTTTCACTTTCAGAAGTGGGACTGTTAAAAGAGTTAGCTGAGGGGATTTCCCAACCTTTGCTATCAGCCTCAGAGGCCAGAGTGGGACTCAGCCCCTTTTTGATAAGTTCTGTGTGCCATGTAAAGGTGGGACATTATGTCAAGGTCCCCAGCTGTCACAGACAGAATGAGGCTGGGGTAACCAGGCCATGCCACATAATAAAATCCCACAAGCCAAAAGCACATTTCCTCTCCTACCTCCCAGCAAAAAATGCAACTCTCAAATGAAATTACATGTCGTAGTTATAGGCACCCCATTTTTAACCATGTCAGGAGGGAATCTTCAAGAACTTCTAAAGGATAAAAAGGCAAAAAGGTGAGATCAGAAGACTGAGGGAACAATGCATTTTATATGGATATATATAAAACATATAAAATATAGCTAATACAGCTATATTAGCTATAGCTGATATATTAAATATAGTTATGGACCTCATGCCATCCCAGCATCAGAGGGAATTACCAAAAAACAAAGAGCAAGGGGTGTGGATATCTCACAAAGAGTAAACAGGCTGAATAAATATAGATTGCCTCATTGAAATGCTCAAAATAATGAGGAAGGTTGATGTATGAAAGCACTATTGCAATATTTTGAAATAACAGCACAATTGGTACAATCTGAGAGAAAACACTGACAGCACAACTTTGGCTGATGATGACACAACATGCAGCTTAATTCTGCATTAAAACATTAAAAGTTACTTAAAATTCTAGAAGCTCTGAAGTGCATAGACTTGCAAGCAGCTAGGTTGCAGGGGTATTTTAAAAGCACTTGCAAATAGATAAACATTATTAATAATTATTAATAATCTAGCCCAAAGGCTGTTGCTTAGAGGGATCACAGATCTGACAACCAGTCTGGTTGCCTTTTTTTGTGCCCTGGAGCATCACGAAGCAGGTGGTGCATGAGGCGATTCCTCCTCCAGTGCTAGTCAACCTCTAGATGGCAAAAAGTCCATAACTGCTGTAAAAATGATGAGGGGCAATTTAAATGTGGGGCCCTTTAATGGGGATTTGAAGGGCACATTAAAAGGACCTTACTTAAGCAACATGTGGCTAATATCAGCAGGTTAGTTAACCAACAGCTCATCCCAGATTATTGCAGTTCATTGAATTTTGAAGAGAGTAAATAAGGAAAGGATTTAGTGGGCAGCACATGGAGCACATTCTCACAGCTGGATGGTGACCAGGCCAGGAAGCTCTCTCTCATGGCTGTTGAGCATGGTAAGTTTGAAAGGTTGTTGTGCACAACCAGAGCCCTCTTGTTGATCCTGTGATGTTGGCACTTCTAAAATAAGATGTGGGAAAACACAATCTTGTTTAAGTAAAAACCAACACGTGGTAAGATTATACAGTCAGCAAAAATCTGTTTATCTAACTGTGCAGACAGACTGTTTTTCAGTGTCTGGAAATCAAGCAGGATAAAACTATAATAGAAATATGTTTTTTTTTCACTAGAACAGTCTATGGGCTGTTTCTGACATCTGATAGATTTTTCTGTCAGGAAAAATTCAAGACTCACCCATTCTTGTAAAAGATCTGCTCTAGTGTAACAAAACAGATGAGCAGTTTATGACAGTGGTTTTGTATATAATAACAGGTATTTAATTATGTGAGTCATATTATTTTTTTCAGTCGTGTTAGCTCAGTTAATATCCCAGACCATGTGAAGGTGTTGGGGGGTTTGTCCTGGGGTTTCACCTGAAGTCAGCATGGTTTTTGTTTCTGCTGTTCTGTGATGTTGCTCACATTTGGATGAGTTACTAAAAAGGTCTAAGCACTCTCACCTGCCAGTGATTTACACTTAATTAATTCTGTGTCTGTAGTAACAACTCCAGTCCAAGCTGCAGGTTAAGGTTGAATGCAAAGAGAAGCTGTACGACCAGCATCAATATCTACCCTTTATATTTTAAATAGG